GAAGTTGCCACATAGTAGTGGCGGGTCTAGTAGAGCAAATAAGGCACTGTTCCCACTCTGGGGGACTCAGGCTCCCATATATTACCAGCCCACTCCAGCCAGCCTGGTGTTTCCCTCCTGAACGTGCAGCCTCATTGCTTGTATGAGAGACAGCGAGCAGAAAGGGAAGTGTAGGAAAGAATGAATGGGAATGAAGAAGCCAACCATCCAGCACAGAGGAAAGTTGCAGCACATGGAAAATTTCTTTTCTGAGACCAGGATATGCTTTTGTGCTCTGCAGCTGAATTGTTGACTGAATGAGTGTGAATGAAGCAGGGTCCAAGTGAATGCTGCTTGTCTATGAGCATACAGTATGTGAATGTTTGCTTGCCTGCAAATGAATTTTTGCCCTGACTTTGTCTGCCACCCCACTATTTCTTAGGTGTAGAGGCATCAGGTTATACCTAGCAATGTTGGACAAGTAAATGGAGGGTCTCTGTCTCTAACAACACATGCCTGGCTGCAGCTCAAAAGATTTGCCTCTTATCTAAAGCATAATGCACAGGTTCCTAAAATATGGTATAAAGCAGAAGTATCAAAAAGTATCATCACTGTACAATTTTCTTGGACTACAGCTCTCTCTGTTATCTATGGGCTCACCCAGACAGGGCTTATGTGCCAAGCCCATTTGTTCCTGAAGAACATGGGATTGCCAGTGTGTTGCGACACTTGCATCCACAATTGCATTTGAGGTAAACATGATGTGGCTGTATTGCTGTGAAAAGAACCACTCACCCTGGACTTGGAAGGAAGGAATTAATTGCAAAGGGACCTAATTATGAAGAGAAGTGCCAAACTAAATACTAAGCTCCATCCCCCAAATTGCAAACAAAAAAATTTATCAGTCTGAAAAGAGGGTATAGAACATTAAAAGGCCCAAGTTTTGTAGCTGGTTATAATGTAACAAATATTGTGTCATCTGGATGGTGAGAAAAATACTGATAACTAGTGAGTAAAGAGGTACATTTTTGCTAGAATTATATTGGTGTTTGTATAAGGTATGTGTAACTTGCTACCACTAACTAGCTATTTAATGAGATTCCTAGTCATGCACCTAGCTGCATAACTGAGATGCACCCCCAGCTAGCACCAGTTGGACACAGCATGTTATACAAAACCTACATAAACCCCAGCAGGCTTCCAGTCATGACTGAACAAATACCCCAGCTGGATGATCCCTGTCATAGTTATCTAAGAGTTGCTGTCTAGTAACAACTGAGAGCATAAGATCCTCATTCCTGAATTCAAAATTATCCCAGAATTCGAGGAAAGTAATTTATATTGGCTGTAATTCTGTTGCTTAGTGTAGAGTATGTACACTTACTTGTATCAATGAAATGTATGCAGGAGATGACTCACCAAATCCCCAATGATTTAGTCAACCTAGCCCAGTGTGATTTAATATGCTAGGCAACAGGATTTTAGTCATTATATGAAATTCCAACCTGTCTTTTATGAGTCAACTTTGTTGAACTACTTACTGCCTTATACATCCAAGTGAAACATTTGATTAACCTTAGCTGTCAACAGCACAAACTTAGTGTTGCCAGTTAGGGGGGGTGAGCAAATACTGGGTAAAAACAGGTTTCAGAGTCAAGAACAACAATGAACAAACAGCTCTGTCAACTCAGATTAAATATTATGTGCCGGATAACCTGACTGAGTTGCAGAAAGGTAACAGAAGTTGACCAAATGATAAATTGCAATTTAATTCTCAAAGGGGCCTTAGTTTAATCCAGAGAGATCAAAGCTGAAGCTCAATGAATTAATGCAGCATGTGGAGAATGAAATCAAGTTGATTGAGAAAGAAGGAAAGCACTAGGGCTACAATGCGATGTACACTTTCCCAGGACCCAGTTCCATTCTGAATAGGAAAACATGCATGTTCTAAGAAATTGTGGATCAGATTGAGTTACGTATAATATTCCATATGTGAAAATGTAACCAAAGAGACTAGGGACTTGGGAGAGCTCTGCACCAGAAAAGTCTCGTCGTCGTTTAGTCTTTTAGTCGTGTCTGACTCTTTGTGACCTCATGGACCAGAGCACGCCAGGCCCTCCTGTCTTCTGTTGCCTCCCAGAGTATGGTCAAATTCATGTTGGTAGCTTCGATGACACTGTCCAACCATCTTGACCTCTGTCTTCCCCTTCTCCTCTTGCCTTCACACATTCCCAACATCAAGGTCTTTTCCAAGGAGTCTTCTCTTCTCATGAGATAGCCAAAGTATTGGAGCCTCAGCTTCAGGATCTGTCCTTCCAGTGAAAGCATCGCAAATCAATCAGTTTAGCAAAAGAGAGCAGGAGGAGGATGTTAAGGGTGAAATCCCATTGTACTTTGCATAATTTAAATTTATACCTCCAGAGGTTTTGCAGGGAATTACACCAAGAGAGTCTGCATTGAATACTCACTTGTGCAGCTAGGTGCAGAAGTTCTTCCTGGACATGACTTCTGCCTTGGTATGAATTTTGCAGGTTCCTGCACAACTTCAAGCTATGCAGATATAGCTACATAACAGGATTTGGGCCGGTATGTGTTTATTATGCATGGTATAGAAAAAGAGAGGTAGAAGTCATTTTTTCTACTTGATCCATAGGATCAGTCTGAAACTTATCACTACGGTTTGGGAAGATAACAACCATAGTTAAGAATCATCATAATTACCACCATCATTGACCTACAAGATTAAGATCCACTTAATAATGAAAACTCACTAGCTGGCCTTGAGCTCAACCACTGTCTAAAAATGACCTAATTCAGAAAGTTGTTTTGTGGATACAGCAGGAAAGACAGCCATGTATTCTTAAAGAGACTTGTATTTAAATAATAACTAATAAAAACAATTTAGAATGGTTTTAAGCATTTTTAACTTGCTTTTCAGAGAGTCGATATGATGTGTAGTGGACAGAGGCTTAGACTAGGACTCAGGAGACCTGAGTTCAGATCCCCACTTAGCCATGGATGTGTACTAAAGGTTTTTATGATAAGCCATTCTTTGAGCACAGACTTCAAAAACCATTATATGGTTACCATACACCTGAAGTGACTGAGGGCACAGAACAACAGCAACAGATTCAACAATATGCTCTTCCTATGAGAATGTTCCAGTAATACATCACAAAGCTGTAAGAAGTTATCTTTGGAGGCTAGAATCCCCTAATATGCATGGTCACTGACAAGGCTGGTTGGGAACTTCTGGAATCTATAGTTCCCCCTCCCCTCTGGAAATTAAAATTTTCCAATCTCTGGTGTGTCATTAAAAGAGGAGGTAAATTACAGCATCAGCAATAATGTTTTTTTCCTCTTCCTCCTAGGCTCCTTTCCTCTTCCCCAGAAGGTGGCAGTGGTAAACCACTGCTGAACTTTCTTTATGTTGAAAACCCAATGATGAGATGGTCCAAAATAAAACAAATAGTGCTGGAAGGAGGGACGTCAAGATCAGAAAGCACTCAATCAACTACTGGGAAAAAGCAAAGGAAAAATATGAATAGTGCTGTCAGTAATAGATTAACGCCGAAAGGATGTCTAGTTGCTGATATGAACAGAAAGGAACTGAAAGGAAAATCCAATGCTGCTCAACAGATACAACTAGAACACAGAACATTAAAAGTATGAATCAAGGCAAACTTAAAACTAAGAAGCAAGAAATGAAACATATAAGCATTGCACTGCAATGAGCTAAAGTGGACTAGAATGGACATTATAAGTCAGAGAACTACAAAGTGTCTTACTCTGGAAATGACAAATTCAGAAAAAATGGAGTGGTTCTAATACTGAGGCAAGATGTAGCACAAGGGTGTTGGGTGCTATAATGCAACATCTGATGATTTAAACCAGTGGTTCTTAACCTTTGTTACTCGGATGCTTTTGAACTGCAACTCCCAGAAACCCCAGTCAGGACAGCTGGTGGGGAAGGCTTCTGGGAGTTGCAGTCCAAAACTCCTGAGTAACCCAAGGTTAAGAACCACTGATTTAAACAATATCAACCAGATTCTATGGAAAGCCTGTCAACATAACTATTGTTTAAGTCCATGGTCCAACTTCAAATGCTAAAGGAGATGAAATTGAAAGCTTTGATGCAAGCATCCAGGAGGAAATTGATTAGACACCTAAACAGGACATATTTTTAATTACTGTATGGGGAGAAGAATGTAAAACCAGGAAACACAGCAGAATGAAATGTTTCTGGAAAATTTGGTTTGGGGCCAGAAACGAAGGAGAATGACTTGTAGATGTGATGCTGATGGTATTTCAACAAAGGCTTTTACCTTATGGAATTAGAAATGCCTGGGATTCAAACTGGATTCTGAAAAGGAAAAGGCAGTTGTGATCCCAGTCAGCCCCCCCTTTCCTCCTTGTGCAACATCGTGGTGCGAAGATAACTCTGACGCTTCAGTTTTTTTCCAATAAAACTTCTTTATTTAGTAACACACTTTTATGGTCTCTATCAACAACAACATCAGCCTCTTCCTTTGCAGAGACAAATTTCTCATCCTCAAACAGTAACAGATTCCCCTTCAAAGTGAGTGGTGAAGAATTCTAAACCTGATCATACCATCTAGATTCACCAGATCGTCTGGTGCTGTTACTCTCGGCCTCACTGAGGGGTGTGTGTATGAAATATCCAGTCCACCTGTGGCTCCCAAACTCTTCTGCCTGGCGTAGGTCTTGTGTTGGGGCGAAATGGACTGACCCCGCGGGTTTCCCAGCTCTCTCCATACCTCAGTTGCATTCCCTCCATTGGATCTCTCTCTGTATCCAAGTTTTATATTTCTTCCCTCTCTCTCTTTTGTCTTGCCCATATATGGTGGTTTTCTATATATCTACCTTTTCCACTCTTTCTCGGCATAGACTCTCAGCACCTTAAATTCCACTCATTCTCATGTCCAGGGGTCTTCCTCTATCAAATCCACTAGATCTTTTTCTTCCACCTTCTCCATCCAACATGCTTCTTCCCCTAAATCTACCAACTGCCTCCCTCCTCCTTTCCTGTTTCCTCTTGCTCCTTTTCTCTCTCCAAAATAATGCCCTCTCTCATTTCTGTGTCTAAATTCAGTTCCTGTAAATCTTTTATTAGGTCTGTCAGTTATCCTTGGTTGTTTCCTCTTAAAGACACAGACGGTACACCCTTCTGACCACCTCTGAGGGTGTTCCCGGTCTCACAGCACTCAAGATTATACAGTGGAACCTCTACTTACGAACATCCCTACCTACAAACAAGCCAACTTACGAACAGCTTCGTTTGCAAAATTTTGCTTCTACCTGTGAACGGAGCTTCAAGATACGAATGAAAAAACCACGGGGGAGGCGGGGAAAGTGCGAAAGGTGAACTTTCAGTTGACCGTTGGCCAGCGAAGAGGCTATTTGTCTGCAACATCACTTGTCCAAGCGGTTAGAGAGTGAATAGGGAGAGAGTCTTCAGACTGCCTGGTACTGCCTCGTACTGTACTGTATGGACTGTATTTTTTGGCTTTTTTAAAAAAAAAATTGGATTTTGGATTTTTGACTTTCTCTTTTTAAACAGAGAGACTGCCTGTTCTGGGTGAGTACACTGTATTTACTGTACTATACAGGGTCTTTTTGCAGCTTGGTGGAGGGCTAGGGCTAGGGGGGGTTCATGTTTTTGTGCCCTGATGGGTCTTGCAGCGTGAATTTAAAATGTGAAAAGTAGACTGTAATATTAAATTAAAATGAAATGTGAAAATTAGACTGTAATTTAAAAATGTAACATTTATTTATTTTTGCATTCTGTGGCTCCTAGGGTTTGTGTGCTGTGACCTCTCTGTTGTTTTAAAATGTGTGGCTTCAAAGTCTTTTGGGGGGGATCTGTTTGCTATGGTTGCTGGTTGTTGATGCAGGCAGGCTGTAAAATGCAGTTTAGACTCCACAGTCTTTTCCCCCCTTAAAATCAGAAAATATTCTGTGAGGGGCTGTGCTGGCTGTTGATGCAGGTAGGCTGTAAAATGCAGTTTAGACTCTCTTTTTGTGATGAGGAGTTCTATGCTGGAATAATGCTTGCTGGATTCTGTGGCTTTTTAAAAGGTGTTCTTTTTAATCCAGCTTTTTTTAAGCTAAAAGATGCTTGGTTTTCTTTAACAAGATGCTAGTTTTTAAAGGTGTTCTGTTTAGAAGGTGTCCCCTCCCCCCTCCTTTCCTGCCCTTTTTTGACCTAAGTTCATTTTAGGACAAAAGAAGAAAAATTCTCCCCCTCGTGGTAGAGTACAGATTAACCTTCTTTGCATTAGTTCCTATGAGAACTAATGCTTTGACTTAAGAACGGTGCCTCTAGATAAGAATGAAAAACAGCCGGAACAGATTAAATGGTTTTCAGTGCATTCCTATGGGAAATGTTGCTTCTACTTATGAACGTTTCAACTAACGAACATCTTCTGGGACGGATTAGGTTCGTAAGTAGAGGTTCCACTGTATTTCAAATACCCACTGGCTACTGGGGTACATGAAAGGAAGGACCACCAAGAAGGCCCAGTTCCTCATTTTCTCTCTCCAGGCCTCTCTCTGGATCAGCACTCTCAGATGTCTTCTTTCACTTCTGTTGGAAGTGAAAAAAGAGAGTGCCAAAGCAGAACTGGGGTTGAACATGAAGAAGACAAAAAAACCCCCATAACTACAGAAGAACTACACAACTTTAATGTTCATATTGAAGAAAATGAATTTGTTAAAGATTTTGTATACCTTGTTTTAATTATCAAACCAAATGAAGACTCCAATCAAGAAATCAGAAGAAGGCTGAGACTTGGAAGGGCAGCAATGGAATTAGGAAAGATAATCAAGTGTAAGGATGTGTGATTGGAGACCAGAACCAAGATCACCCACACTCCTATATTCCTGATTTCTATGTCCAGGTGTGAAAGATGGACAGCGAAGAAAGCTGTCAGGAAAAAATGTCTTTAAAAGCTTTTAAACTGCTCATGAAGGAGCCAGGCAGATAGCTCAGGGAAGTTGGTTCCAGAGTGGAGGAGCAACCATCAAGAAGGCCCATCATGAGAAGACAGGATTCTCTAGAAAAGACAGGAATGCCAGGAAGGGATGATGGCAACAGAAAAAGAAAGAGGAAGACTAAATACAAGAAAGAAGCCACAGGACTGAGACTGCAAAAACAGAGCAGGGCTGTTGAAGACAGGACATTCTGGAGATCGCTAATTCATATGGTTGCCATAAAATGGAGAAGACTAGACAGCACATAAAAGCATCAGAACAGGATTTGGACATGAAATCTCTGAGAGTGGGTTACTGGTGACCTGTCAACTGTAATCAGCATTCATCACGTCATACATCAGCTCACACAGAGTTCTCCCACATATCCAAGTACTGTACTTTTGCCCCACCTTTCATTTGGGGAACTGCATTCCTTTTCTGTTTAGTGATGCCTTTCCTTCCCACCGTAGCCTTCTCCAGATCCCTCCCAACAAACTCTGAGGAGCAGATCCATGGCAGCACTACTGTTGGCATTTATATTCATCAGTGTGTCTCTGTGACACGGAGATTTCTGTAATTGTTATTGAGGGATCTAGCCCTTATGGCATCTGAAGGGCGTACACTCCAGGGCAGTGACGGTGAAACTTTTTGGGCCCAAGTGCCCAAATTGAAAAACAAAAAGCCAAAAAAAACCAATGGGCGGTGGCGGAAGCAGAAGTGGCGGCAGCAGCAGCGGTGGCAGAAGGGGGAATCCCAGGCACAGAGGTGCCTCGAGGCCCCACTCCGGATCCGCCGTCAGCATCCACCTGTCGGGGTGCCAGCATAGCGGCTGCAGCCACCTTCTCAGGTTTGGCTGCAGGGGGGAGGAGAGTAGCGATCTGGCGACTTATGGCTTGTGTGCCCTCAGAGAGGGCTCTGCGTGCCAACTGTGGCACATGTGTCATAGGTTTTCCATTGCTGCTCTAGGGCATCAAAGGGCATGCCCTTAAGACTCAGCTTTTGGCCACAAAATCAGAGAATGGGATGGATGCTGTTTGCCTGGCAGTCTTAGGAGACCCTAAAAATAGAGTTGGAACATATTTCTGCATTATCATCACAAGCACACACTGCTACAACCACAGTCTTCCCAAATCCTAGCGTTACCTTAATAGCATACACTGTTTCTGTACAAACATCCTCTAGATAGTATACATTATCTTACCTCTGGCTGAAGGTACAGTACTTCTTTCTTTTTGTACTGTAGCTACTATAGTTTTTCTTCCTCGGTACAAGAATGATAATGTGAAAGAATTCTTTTCAAGATACGTCACAAGTAATTGTGACCTAACAACTACGTTGGATGACATCACCTCCCTTTACTCAGAGTGGGCTTTTCCACACCTGGCCAAAACCTTCTCTAGGTTTATACCATCTCCTGTCATTCCAGACCAGTTTGTTCCAAAAATGAGGATGCAATTCACAGAAAATCATCACAACAGCTTTATGATGCAGGCCCTCAACAAGCAGAGGAAGAACAGGGAGTTTTGTGACGTGACCTTCAGTGTGGATCAGAATGTCTTCTATGCGCACCTCAATGTCCTAGCAGCTGTGTCCTCCCATATAAGGACCTTGATATCCAGCAATGACATGAAAGTGGATGATGAGCTCTACATCAGCATCGATGGCAAGTTCCTCAGCGCTGCCTTGGTGAAGGAGATGCTCAACTACTTCTACACGGGGAAGATTCTGATTTCAGAGGAGAACGTGGAGGACCTGCTCAAGGGAGCAAAGTACTTCAATTCTCAGACCCTCAGAAGGCACTGCTCTGACTTCCTCCTCAGGTCCCTCAAGAGAGACAACTGCCTCTCCTACTTATGCTTGGCCACTACCTATGAATTGAAAGAGGTGACAGATTCTGCCTATAATGGAATACGGGACAACTTCAGTTACTGGGTAGGCCCGAAGGGCACAGCAGACTTAATGAATTGCCCTTCTAACGTCTTCTCCAGGCTCCTTAAGGATGAAGACCTTCACATTGAAAACGAGGACCAGGTTCTCCTGGCTCTACTTCAGTGGGTGAAATACAAGAAGGCCGAAAGAGATAAGTTCTTCAAGAAGTACTTTGCGTACATAAATTTGCGCGCCGTCTCCACCAAGGCATTGCTGGCCGCCTCCTGCGAAGTGTCGCTCTTTGCTGACCACGCATTTCTCCTGTCCCAGATAGAAAGTGTTTTGATTGACCGAAAGCAGGAGAACCCTCAAAGTCTGATGCCATACCAAAGGAAAGGGGCATATGTGGATTCTGTGATTATTTTAGGAGGGCAGAAAGAACAGGGTAGGTTCAACAGTGGGGTCTTTGCTTATATCCTTGAAGAGAACATCTGGCTGAAGTTGACCGACATGCCTTACAAAGCTGCTGCTCTCAGTGCAACTTCATTAGGAAAATACATTTACGTCTCTGGAGGAATAACAGAGCAGATCTCTGGCCTGAAGACAGCCTGGAAGTATGATATAGACACAAATTCCTGGCTCAAACTTCCAGATCTACCCGTAGGTCTGGTATTCCACACCATGGTGACTTGTGGTGGAGCGGTATATTCTGTTGGAGGAAGCACAGCTCCAAGGAAATACGTCTCAAGTATCTTCAAGTATGATGAAGGGAAAGAGAACTGGGTTCTTGCTGGGAAGATGAGTATTCCTATGGATGCCAGTGCCGTGATCACCAAGGGGGACAAAATTATTTATATTGTGACTGGGAGATGCCTGGTGAATGGGCGCTTCTCCCGGGTCAGTGTCCTGGATTGTTTTGACACTCAGAGCCGGAACATGGTGAAATTAACTACACTTCCCATTCAGTTCAACCACAAACCCCTGCTGTCTTTTCCTCGGGAAAACATTTTGAGTGTACAGAGCCACAAAGAGAGCCTGGAAATAAACCTGCGGAAGATTAAAATTAACACATCTACCAAACTTGTGCCTCTCCTACCAAATAACTGTAGCTTGGATCTCTCACATGCGGTTTGCTCTGTTGGGAATAACAAAGTATTTGTGTGTGGTGGCCTCATGTGCCCAGGGGACAGACATCCTGAGGAATATTCTATCAATCGGCAAGCATATATGTTAGATCAGTACACAGGGGAATGGAGGCTGTTAGCCAAGCCTCCAGAAGCTCTGGATTGTCCTGCTTGTTGTATGGCTCAGTTGCCCTGCAGGGTTCTCCAAAAATCTGTAGATTAAGCCAGACAGAATTTCTAACAATACATAACAATAAAGGATGACTGGATTGCAGATCGCAGGTGAAGACAAGGTGGCTTCCCTTTGTCTCTTTACCATGAATCATGGTATCAATAGACCATACAATATATTGACAATTGAATTAGTGATTATGTAATGTTTCCTTTTTAGTATAGAATACTTATGTATGTTTTTGAAATGGAACATAGAGGAGGGAAACATGTACTTGCCCAGCTATTTTTTGCAGCAATTGCTGCCACCATTTCCTGTCACTGATACTGATGGCACCAAAGAATGGTGCCACTAAAATTCAGCATCACTGCATTAATCTCTATTTTCTGCTTGTGTGTCTGTGTGTGTTTTGGGCGCACATGTTGTGACACTATCCTGTCCAGTGGACACCTGCCACAATTGCTGGTAGTTTTTGGTGGCAACTGCATTGCCCTGGCTCCAAAAACCCTGTGACCACCATCAATGGGTTGGGGGGCTCCAACGTAGCTGCCTGCCTCTAAGTGGTAAGAGCAGCAAGCTTCATTACTGATCAGGGTACAGTAAACCAGACAGAAGATCATGGGTGTAACTTCTTATTTGGTCCTGAGGCTGAGGCCTGTCCAAGTACATCAAGCTACTGAGGCACAATGATGGGGAGAGGGGGAAGAATCAGAGAACTTTGATGTTGAACAGCAGCAACCAACAGTGAGTTTGCACAACGAGTTCTTAGAAGAAATGTTTTTCTAAGCAGTGACACTTCCAGGGCTTGAAAAATCCACTCGTCCACTCATCTGTGATGAATGGAAAAAATGCTGCTTGACAAGCCACAATTCCCTCCGTCCCTCCCTCCTTGGCTCCTTACCCTCAGTCCATCTCTCTCTCTCTCTTTCTCTCTAATCCTGCAGTCCTCCCTTCCCCCTTCCCATTGCAAAAGGAAAAACAGCCCTCTGCTTTCAGTTGAGAGTTTGAGCGGCACATAGATATCTGCAGAAGAATGTAGAGTAGTCCCTTGCTGGAGAATATGGAGATTCTCCGCTCCCAATTTCAACCGAACCACCTGGCTCCTTAAGAGGCCTGGCACTTTTGCTTTCAGTTTTATTTTTGCTGGAGACATTCAAAAGAAAGGCATTCAAAATACAAGCTTCATGACCCCACATGCATGCAGGTAATAATGCAACCCAAGTCTGAGGGTATATTTATTTTGGGTTTGTACACATTGTTATGTAGAAAGTGCCTAGTTTAAATTTAAGTTTAAACATAAATTGCAAGGCTATAGTCTGGCCATGCTGACTGGTGAAATTTTTGACTGACTGGTGAGGCATTCTAAAATTTTTCAAGCCCTGGACACTTCGGTATTGCAGCAACTGCTTGTGAAGTCCACAGGCAGTCCAAATACTGTGGTGCTGGTACTCAGGGTAGGGGGGGGGAAGACACTGCTTTGGACCTATATAAGTGTTGACGTAAGCAGCTCCATTCATTTATTGGCCCTACTCAGTCTGGAACTAACCATTCAATTTAGGCCAGAGTGGGCTTCCTGAAGATGTTGACAAAGTGTAGGATTCAGCAGGGGGAAAATCTTTTACTCATGTAGTGTTTGGTTCTCTGATCTGTGATGAATTTGGACCTGAAATTCCCATGCTATGTTTATTGGGGAAAGAATAAACCTTGCTTCAAATTCCATCTTTGTTCCCAGAGGGATCAATAAAAAAAATAATACATATCAAAGGCCTACGGCAGTCCTCCTCTCTTGCAGCCTCTTTTACAGTTTGCATGTGGTCCTCCAGATGTTGTCAGGTTGCAATTTCCAGCCCCCTTCATCCCCCATTGGCTCTGCTGACTGGGAACAGCCATCTGGCAATATCAGAAAGGTCACTGGTACCCAACCCCTGCTGTACATATTGCCTCTGGAATTAGAGGGGGGGAAGCTGCATCAAATCACAACCTTAAGCTGGTTCAGGACTTGGACCATGCTATTATTTGCACTGAGAATCAAACTTTTACCAGTGCTAGCAGCAGTTTTTGTTTCCAAGGCAAATGGCAGGTTTGAGAAAAGACGTGCGCACAGTTCTCATCCAGACGGTCATGTAGGTTGAAAATATGCTGCCAGTCTCATTGGTGAAATTTTGCTGCTGATTTATTGTTACTGCTTTACAAGGCATGGCATAAGAGATCACACTTTATTTGACATCATACTACCGTTAAAAGAAATGAGAGCAGGTTATATTTCAAATAACACCCCTGCTGGAAACACATTCTGCCAATTGCTGCAATGTTTAAGGCGTACAGTGGGGTCTTGACTCGAGAACTTAATCCGTATTGGAAGGCGGTTCTCAAGTCAAAAAGTCTGTAAGTCAAGCCGTCTGTAAGTCAAGGGTCCACTGTAATTTGCACTTGTTTCTCCTCTTGATTGGTTTATTTCAAGTGGAAATGTTTGAGCCAAGTTGCTATTTAATTCCAAATGCTTTCCCTCTGACAGTCCACTCACATGGGATTTTAAAAGAGTGTTCCGAGATACATATCCTCAAGGAGGATCTAATAATAGAAGTAGATGTGTTCATCCACATCAACAAATCAGATCTCAGAAAAAGTTCTGCTGCCTAGGAGACTATTCAGAGAGCAGAATTCCCCAGATTCCTAAAATTGGACTAGGATTTTAGGAGTTTTAATCTGAAAAAGTGAACGTTCCAGCCTTTACAAAGAAACAAATCTAGCAATTTACATTTCTCCAAGGAGCCTGTGTTCTGATATACAGTACATATCATCAAGGAGGATCTAATAATAGAGGTAGATGTGTTCATCCACATCAACAAATCAGATCTCAGAAAAAGTTCTGCTGCCTAGGAGACTATTCAGAGAGCAGAATTCCCCAGATTCCTAAAATTGGACTAGGATTTTAGGAGTTTTAATCTGAAAAAGTGAACGTTCCAGCCTTTACAAAGAAACAAATCTAGCAATTTACATTTCTCCAAGGAGCTGGTCTTCTGTAAAGCTAACGGATCATAACTACACATTCAACATAAAGGCGTTCCCCGACTACTTGACATTATAACAGAAATACTTCACAAGAATATATTGCTGCTAGTTCTGCTACCTAGGAGACTACTCAGCAGAATCCCCCAGATTCCTAAAATCGGACTAGGATTTTAGGAGTTTTAATCTGAAAAAGTGAACGTTCCAGCCTTTACAAAGAAACAAATCTAGCAATTTACATTTCTCCAAGGAGCCAGTCTTCTGTAAAGCTAACGAATCATAACTACACATTCAACATAAAGATGCTTCCCCACTACTTACCTAGGAGACTACTCAGCAGAATCCCCCAGATTCCTAAAATCGGACTAGGATTTTAGGAGTTTTAATCTGAAAAAGTGAACGTTCCAGCCTTTACAAAGAAACAAATCTAGCAATTTACATTTCTCCAAGGAGCCAGTCTTCTGTAAAGCTAACGAATCATAACTACACATTCAACATAAAGATGCTTCCCCACTACTTGACATTATAAGAGAAATACTTCACAAGAATATATTGCTGCTGGGAACCTCATACTGTACTTTGCAGTTTCAGGGGACAGCTCCAGGGAGAAGTAAATCTTGCATGGCAGAGGGTGCAGAAGGGCTACAAAAGTATAATTAGAACAGGAAATTCTGCCTCAGTTGCAACCTGGACATGCATGAGTGCTAAACTGGCACCAGAAGTCATGTAATAAATACAGTAGACTGACAAGTATCAGCATTATAGACAATATCATTTTGTCTTTTAGAATGGAAAAGTTCTCTTTCCCTTCATCATATCAGCTTGCTCAAAGCCCTGATGTGGGGCTTTTGGAAGCCAGGCAGAAGGGCATCCATGAAGCTTCTTGCAGCTTTCGCAATTTCATCAACAGGTGAAGGCTTTTACCTAGAGTACTAGTATTCTCCTTACTAATGCTGCTGCTCCTTTCCTATTTATTATACATATTTTAATTTGAGTTCTGGCTTCCGTTTCTCCACAAGGAGTTTTAGGTAATATCTCACTAATATCTCACCTGACCAATTTGCAGCATTTTTAAAACCAAAAGTGGAGACCACCGGGATCTCTCTCCTTTTTTAAATACAATACCTCACCTGACCAATTTGCAGCATTTTTAAAATCAAAAGTGGAGACCATCTGCCAGGATCTCTCTCCTTTTTTAAATACAGTGGATCGAGCAGAGATGTCCAGCGCTCCGCCTTGCCCGGTGACGCTTGAATTCTTTCAGCCTGTGGTGCCAGATTGGGGGACAAAGTGCTTGATCACTGTCGGGCCTTGCCCAGCCTGGCTAATCAAAGCAGCCAGGCCAACAACAACGGGAACAGGCCACATTGATACTTAATGGGTCTCTCCAGGAGGGCAAGGCTGGTGACGCTTGAATTCTTTCAGCCTGTGGTGCCAGATTGGGGGACAAAGTGCTTGATCACTGTCGGGCCTTGCCCAGCCTGGCTAATCAAAGCAGCCAGGCCAACAACAACGGGAACAGGCCACATTGATACTTAATGGGTCTCTCCAGGAGGGCAAGGCTCCTCTTGCCCTCAAGGAGACACTCATTAGGCCCATTAGGAAGAAACCAAATTTGGCGGTGGACGATATTGGGAATTATAGGCCCGTCGCCAGTGTTTCCTTCCTCGGCAGAGTGGTGGAGAGGGTGGTGGCTGATCAGCTTCAAGCTCTTTTGGATGAAACCAATGCCCTAGATGCATTTCAGTCGGGCTTCAGGACGTGCCACAGCACAGAAACGGCACTGGTCGCACTGTTGGACGACCTGTTAAGGGAAGCTGACGGGGCAACACATCCTCGTTGGTCCTCCTCGATATCTCAGCCGCCTTTGATACCGTCGACCACAGTATCCTCCTAGGGAGGCTCTCCAAGCTGGAAATCGGTGGCCTTGTGCTTGCCTGGCTCCGATCCTTCTTGGAGGACCGCCCCCAGAGAGTACAGCTTGGGGAGAATGTTTCGGCCCCATGGAGTCTCAATTGTGGGGTTCCGTAGGGGTCGATCATCTCCCCAATGCTGTTTAATATCTATATTAGGCCGCTGAGGGGAGTCATCAGGGGGTGTGGGGCTGCGTGCCATCAGTACGCTGCTGACACCCAGCTCTAAATCTCCTTTTCACCTACTTCAGTGGATACCGTTATGTCCCTTCAGCGATGTTTGGAGATCATACTGCAATGGATGCAGCTGAATGGGTTGAGGCTGAACTCTGAGAAGACGGAGATCTTGAGGGTGGATGGCCCCTCCATTGGTGGT